AATAACGATGCAACTCACCCCTTTATTTATGTCGATCACCCCCGATTCCAAACTTTTGTCCAGTGAGTGTACATGTAAATTTTTCGATACGTACAGTGCTTCTATTGGATATGAGCCACATAAATTTCGTAAATTCCCTTTAAATTCTTAACATGGAAATCGTTACTATATTCGTAATAAATTAACGTCAACACTTCGCAATTATATTCGTAAGCATTACACGTTTAACACCACTTATTAATATTTAACGTGATTGTTAAATTTGTGGTTGTCATTATCGTTATTAATTAACTCTTTTTGGGAAACTTATCATTAATATCTAGCACTTGTTATCAATGTTCCTTGAGTTCCGCTTTTTTTAATAATTATAATAAAATTCTTCCATGTTTATTAGCACCTTTAATATAGTTGAAAGATGAATCTAATGTCGGATAATAGTCAGACATGTAATTATATGGATTGAAACACTTCTGAAAAATTCTTTTGAATATTAGATTAAAAAAATCCATACAAAACGCAGTAAACTGTATATAAGGTAAGGTCCTGGCCTTCAAACATTTAAGAATAGGATAGCAAAAACATGAATAAAATCCCTTTACTTGTGAATAATACCGTTACCATCACCTTCAAAACTTGCATACAAGTTGCTTTTGTTTTTGTGCCTAACTTAAATTGACAAGTGAAAGAACGCCACTCTAAATAAATTTTTGTGTTTCTTTCTGTTGACATTGGATAAGTCCAACTGTTGAATTCGCTTAATGCTTTATGTTTGATTATTGGTTTGTTAGCACCGTCAATAAGTCCAGGCTCTTTTAATAGTGAAATTATTTCTCGCAAAGCAGAACTAGGCAAATTTTCATTGATCTATTCTTCCAATACTCTTTTGACTATTCTGTATAATATTTTTCGTAAAATTGCCAGAGAAAACCTCTAGAACACTTAGCGAATCCCTCTACCTGTAAATTATTAAGCCTATAGTTGTGTTGCGATTTATTTTCTTTAGATCCAACATCATTTAAAGGGTAGCGTATGTAACGGCAAGTGCCGAAATAAAAACATGAAAGATGAACATTCGAGATGCTTTGCAAGCAATCATTACATGCATTTCCCAAATTTACATGCAGTACGATCACTATTATTTTAGCGCACTTCTTGAAATATAAAAATTGTATCTAACATATATTAAAACATATAATATATAGTAAATCATATACTATTTGAAAAGCAAAAGAAACCTGGGCAAAGCTTCCTAAAATTAAAAATTTTAAGCCAATGGAAATCGAGATTAATCAAAACTGTGATAATTAACTATTACCTCATCTTTATTAACAGTCAAAACATCGTTTGATTGCATTGCAAGAACATCCACAATAAACATTGCTTTCACTGGTTTGCCATTATCACAGTACATATGTGACATTGATGACTGTTTGGCAAACCACATTCCTAAAATTCATCGTATTGTCAGCTCAAAGAAACACTGATTCAACTGATATACATGTACATACCACATCCGCTTTTGGAATAAGCACATCTATTGCCTTCGCGTATAATTCCACAAACTCCACAATTACTAGCACAGGATGGTGCCAGTGTTGTAATCAATCTCATAGGATCGCATGATGTCTTTGTTCCATGAAACATTTGATGAGTTATTTTATCGGCTGAATTCATGATTTTAGCCATTTCCCCTTTTAACGCAAGATGTTTGTCGACTATAACATCTGGCATTTGCAGTCTGAATATCGCTTGGATAGTTGAGTTTGGCATATGTTGATTAAACATATTATGAGCCTTAGTATAATCAACTTCATTCGGATAAAGGATGATTAATTTAGTTTGAGTTAATGTTGCAGTATTCATATTTGAATAAATAGAATTCGAAATATCAGCTTCTACGTAATTACGTTCAAATTGTAACTCTATTTATAATTAGTTTATTTCCCATTGTTCGATAAACTTTATAGATAATATATAGACTTTTATATCAAAAAAAATTTATCAAATGAAAAATTTACATAAATTTCTTATAATTAAAAATTAAAAAAGGAAACTCCGAAATTTTTTGCCACGACAATAATATATTCAGCATTTTTTCAATTACTTTTATCAATTAACTCAACAAATGCTCATCGATTTATAGTGCGACGTAATCATGGTTGCACTTAAAATTTATAGCATTTATCAAATAAAAAAAATCAATATGATACATGTTCACCATTATTTTTTAGAAGCGAGTTAGGAATTTTGTCCCACTCTTCAGCCATTCCAATTCTCCAAGATTTTTTGCATACGTTTTTCTACGTTCCTTTGACGATGGCCCATGATCGGATTTAAGTCAGAAATGTTGGATGGCCAGTCCAAAACTTCGGGAAGATCTGAATAATGTTTTTGCTCCTTGGATGTCGCCATTCCCAAATGTTGCTTCAACAAAAAATCGAACCATGCTGGTAAATGGTAAATTAGCCACACGGCTCGTGTTCAAATACATTTTAGTAATCTAATTTGAGCGAGTTACACATCTTTAAATCACATGAAAATACTTACAATTTTTTTTGCATACATGTACATGTATGTATTTCTCTTTGAAGATATTGTCGACTATTTTAGGTACATCACAATTATAATAACGATAACTACATTTCCTATTTCTATCAGTTAACTCTTGAATACCATAATTTGCATTATTTCATTATTTCAGCATACTAATACTGTATTTAATATCATTATTAAGACTCGGATCGTGTGATATATATATCATGCAACACGTAATCATATGATCGTTTTTGTTATTTCTCTTTTTTGTAGGAATAACCATGGGGTAACACAAAAGTAACACTACTATTCCCACGAGGCCGAACAGATCATTCTATTTGCTGCGACGGCTTTGTCTATTTAGGGCTCGTTATCAAATAAAGAAGTAATATATTTTTCGCGTTATTTATTTGCATTTTCATACTGGGGTGTACTGGTAAATAGATGAATGCTCAGCAGGAATTTATCGATCGTACACACCCCCACAATATATTACCGGAAATTTCAAAAATGAAACTATCATTTTGGAACCCAATTTCTTGTAATCTAGTGATCTCATTTAAATAAAGATATTATCATAAGATTCGTGGAGTCGCGACAAATTTAATGGAGTATTTTCATTTAAATTGGATCATTGAATTTTGAGATATTGGATTTCAAAGTGGCAGATTCGTTTTTAGGATTTCCGGTAATATATTGTAGGGGTGTGTATAACGACGACGGTAATACATATAATATCTTTTTTTAATTAAATTGGGCAAGAAATTTTATCAGTATAAGCCTTTATACTTGACATGTTATTCGTAGTGGAAAAATGGTTACGATTTTTCAGAGAAATGTTATTGAGTTAATAATAATTTTAACTTTGATCAAAAATCACGTTTAGCACTAGTTTCATATTTTTTGCATTATACATGTAATCAGAAAAGATAAATTCAACGATCGGTTCCGGATTAGGTCCAAATAGTATGAACCGATTACCTGCAGGCCACGTCGGACGTCGGAAGGATCACGGGTTTAGATCGCAATTAGGAAAACTTTCATTGCTGCAGGTAACGGTAAATCTACATGTAATTAGCGTTAAGAGCAAATTAGGTCTTCATTATTTTTTAATTCAGCTCTGATTGGTAGCAAATTCGATTTATTTGCTGACTGTAGTACATGTATAAATTATCGGACCGATAATTATTATTTTTATTCTAGTGACCCTACAATAAATCCATTTAAAGATGGAATCAGTTCATGATTGTAGTAAATGTACTAAATGTCAAAAAAAAATAAACTCTGCGCTGAATGTTTTTTATATCATAAACGAATCTATAATGTTAAATTGTCAAGCGTAGATAAAAGATGCCGACTATCTAATAAGAATGTAACGAAATTATTGTTGTTGATAAATTATTCGAATGACTTCCTTTGATAGATTTACCAACGTTGAATTTCTTGGAAGCGGAGCTTTTCAGCCAATTTATAAAGCAGTCTGGTTGGACCAACTTATGAATGAATGGGATCATGAGGAAAATAAATTTAAACGAAATGAACAAATAAAAAGTTGCGTTGAAATCATTAGATAATTCAAAGCAAATAACGCCAGAATTTATAAACGAGGTAGAAAAAAAAAATTTTTAAGGTGAAAGTTGCTTTTTATTTTCTGTTAAATCAAACTTTTCAAAATAGATTCAAACTGCCCTTAAATGTTATAATGGTGGTGGTATTATTCATTCACTGA